CTCGCCCATCGCGGGTGTTTTTTCCCCATCTCGAATTCGACCGTTCCCGCCAAAGTTCGCCGGTTCGCCGCGACTCGATTATCCGCGGTTGGCCGCGAGATTCCCGTACGCGTCGTGACCGCGCTGCTCGCGACCACGACGCTGCTGCTGCTGCTGCTGCCGCCGGCGGAAGAACGCACGCGGCCGCCGTTTCGCGCCTCCGAAGCGGCCCGTCGCCTGTCCCAGGCCACGCGCGGCATTCCCAGCGTCCCGTGGCGCAGCGAGGTTCAGCCGCCCCATGGTTATATTTGTTAATCGTGCTTAACATTTTTAAAATACAAAATACACCTCCTGTTTCATGTTTGCGTTACCCTCGCGGGGGGTGGGGGGGAAGCCTCGCCGAGTCTCGTGACTCTTTTCGCGGCAGGGTTCTGGAATCGCTTCGTAGATTCCCGCCGTCGAGAAATCTGCGGCGAAACCTCTCAAACTTGGATGGCGGCACCGCGAGGGCCTGCCTCTTGCGAGCGACGTCACGGGGATCTTTAACGTTAACCGCGAGCGAGGCGGACGGCGCCCGGTGGTATTATTATCACCGTTACCACCGCGGTTAATACGCGCACGGCAGTATTTGCCGGGGGCGGCCGCGGCATTCGAACCGCGAACAACGAGCGGGGGAACGGACGACAGCGTTGTCACCGTCTCCCGAGATCCGCCCCGGTGTGTCCCGAGACCCGTCCCGCATCTCCCCAGATCCGCCCCGCGTCTCGCGTCAGCCCTCCGCGTTGTCGCTCGGCGCTATTTTGCGAAGGCACCGAGCGACAACAGGATACGCGGCAGGCACTCGACGCCGCCCGCCGCTTTCCGATTTTGGCCTTTGTTTTTGTTTTTATGTTTGCGTTCGTTATTTCCAGCGTCCGAGTGTTTTTTTTTTGCTTTGGATTCGACGCTTCCGGAAATGTGCACGTTGCAGTTTCGTGATGCGCTTTCAGGGTTCCTGATTTTTGTGTGTGTCCTGCGTGAGCGTGCGCGTGTCCTGTGCGTGCGTGTGTGTGTCCTGCGTGAGTGTGTGTGTGTCCTGCGTGAGCGTGTGTGTGTCCTGCATGAGTGTGTGTGTGTCCTGCGTGAGCGTGTGTGTGTCCTGCGTGAGTGTGTACGTGTGTCCTGCGTGTGTGTGTGTGTGTCCTGCGTGAGTGTGTGCGTGTGTCCTGCGTGTGTGTGTGTGTGTCCTGCGTGAGCGTGTGTGTGTCCTGCGTGAGCGTGTGTGTGTCCTGCGTGAGCGTGTGTGTGTCCTGCGTGAGTGTGTGTGTGTCCTGCGTGAGTGTGTGCGTGTGTCCTGCGTGAGCGTGTGTGTGTCCTGCGTGAGTGTGTGCGTGTGTCCTGCGTGAGCGTGTGTGTGTCCTGCGTGAGTGTGTGCGTGTGTCCTGCGTGAGTGTGCGTGTGTCCTGCGTGAGTGTGTGTGTGTCCTGCGTGAGCGTGTGTGTGTCCTGCATGAGCGTGTGTGTGTCCTGCATGAGTGTGTGTGTGTCCTGCATGAGTGTGTGTGTGTCCTGCGTGTGTGTGTGTGTGTCCTGCATGAGTGTGTGTGTGTCCTGCGTGTGTGTGTGTGTGTCCTGCGTGTGTGTCCTGCGTGAGTGTGCGTGTGTCCTGCATGAGTGTGTGTGTGTCCTGCGTGAGTGTGTCCTGCGAGGAGCGTGCTGGCATAGCGGTTAGCGCGCGTTGCACTATCCAACCCGGTGACCCAAGTTCGATTCCCTCCCACGGCCACCACCAGTGACGATTACCTGAAACGAGTACCTGGTGCGATGTGTAAACATCGCCACTGGGGAGACAGAGGCCACAGTGCCGGCCATGGTGGCTGCTGCTGCTGCTCGCTAACAGCACTTGCCCCAACAGTCTGTTAAGGCTACACGGGGGGGGGGGATCTTTGTCTTTGTGTCCTGTGCGCCCCCGAGCGTCCTGTTGGGGACGTGCGTTCCGGAACGGAGCAATCCCAGAGGCCGTCCACCGTGGAGACGGAGCGACGAAGCCAGGCGGTGCGCCGGCGCTCGGCGGGATTATTGCATCGCAGGATCACGAGAGGAGCAGCGGACTGGCCCCATGGCTGCCTGCTGAAGATGATCGTAGCGCGCGCGAATGTTCGGTGACGCACGGTGACGCGCGACGGTGACGCGCGAGAGCAAAAAACGCGAAATTGAGACGTGCAAAACGAGGGCGCAAACAGAATCGCTTCTCTTGAATCGGGCTGCGATTCCCCAAATGCTGCCGAACTAACCCCTCTCCCGTCCCGAGGTGCCTGCACGTTACAGGCTGTGGGGTCAAGTGCTGTTAGCGGAGTAGCACCTTTGAAGGCTCGTCTCCCCAGTGGCGATGTTTACACACCGCACCGGGTACTCGTTTGAGGCTGAGTCGACCTAGGGGAGGCCTAGGACCGGTTCGGATAATCGTCACCGGTGTTGGCCGTGAGCGGGAACCGAACGTTCACCGCCGAATCTCGGGAACGCCGTGGGCGGCTCGGCGTTTTAATTTAAATTTCGAGGAGACGTGGCGGCGGCGGCGCCGTTGTTTTTATAGACGTCGTCACTCGCCGCAGACAACCGTAGGGGCACGACCACCGCAACTCGACGGTAACTGGCGCCAAACTGTGCCGCACGCCCCTCCCGCGCGGCTTCGTGGCGAGCCTTGGTACCGATGAAGATATTTAGTCTCGGTTTTTCTTCCGGGTTCGTTTTGACGACGTACAACACCTCACATCATCGGGAATGGATTCAGAAGAAAAAACGATAACGTACGTCATCGGAATGGGAAAGGGTTACCTCGCTGGGGCGGGGGTTTGTGCCACCGTTTGTATTGTCTTCTTGTTTGTATTGTCTTCTCTGTTTGTATTGTCTTCTCTGTTTCTATTGTCTTCCCCGTTTGTATTGTCTTCTCTGTTTGTATTGTCTTCTCTGTTTGTATTGTCTTCTCTGTTTGTATTGTCTTCTCTGTTTGTATTGTCTTCTCTGTTTGTATTGTCTTCTATGTTTGTATTGTCTTCTTGTTTGTATTGTCTTCTTGTTTGTATTGTCTTCTCTGTTTGTATTGTCTTCTTGTTTGTATTGTCTTCTCTGTTTGTATTGTCTTCTCTGTTTGTATTGTCTTCTCTGTTTGTATTGTCTTCTCTGTTTGTATTGTCTTCTCTGTTTGTATTGTCTTCTATGTTTGTATTGTCTTCTTGTTTGTATTGTCTTCTCTGTTTGTATTGTCTTCTCTGTTTGTATTGTCTTCTTGTTTGTATTGTCTTCTCTCTTTGTATTGTCTTCTCTGTTTGCATTGTCTTCTTGTTTGTATTGTCTTCTCTGTTTGTATTGTCTTCTTGTTTGTAGTGTCTTCTCTGTTGGCATTGTCTTCTCTGTTTGTATTGTCTTCTCTGTTTGTATTGTCTTCTGTTTGTATTGTCTTCTATGTTTGTATTGTCTTCTTGTTTGTATTGTCTTCTTGTTTGTATTGTCTTCTCTGTTTGTATTGTCTTCTTGTTTGTATTGTCTTCTCTGTTTGTATTGTCTTCTCTGTTTGTATTGTCTTCTCTGTTTGTATTGTCTTCTCTGTTTGTATTGTCTGCTCTGTTTGTATTGTCTTCTCTCTTTGTATTGTCTTCTCTGTTTGCATTGTCTTCTTGTTTGTATTGTCTTCTCTGTTTGTATTGTCTTCTTGTTTGTAGTGTCTTCTCTGTTGGCATTGTCTTCTCTGTTTGTATTGTCTTCTCTGTTTGTATTGTCTTCTGTTTGTATTGTCTTCTATGTTTGTATTGTCTTCTTGTTTGTATTGTCTTCTTGTTTGTATTGTCTTCTCTGTTTGTATTGTCTTCTTGTTTGTATTGTCTTCTCTGTTTGCATTGTCTTCTTGTTTGTATTGTCTTCTCTGTTTGTATTGTCTTCTTGTTTGTAGTGTCTTCTCTGTTGGCATTGTCGTCTCTGTTTGTATTGTCTTCTCTGTTTGTATTGTCTTCTCTGTTTGTATTGTCTTCTCTGTTTGTATTGTCTTCTCTGTTTGTATTGTCTTCTATGTTTGTATTGTCTTCTTGTTTGTATTGTCTTCTTGTTTGTATTGTCTTCTCTGTTTGTATTGTCTTCTCTGTTTGCATTGTCTTCTCTGTTTGCATTGTCTTCTTGTTTGTATTGTCTTCTCTGTTTGTATTGTCTTCTTGTTTGTAGTGTCTTCTCTGTTGGCATTGTCGTCTCTGTTTGTATTGTCTTCTCTGTTTGTATTGTCTTCTCTGTTTGTATTGTCTTCTCTGTTTGTATTGTCTTATTGTTTGTATTGTAGTCTCTGTTTGTATTGTCTTCTTGTTTGTATTGTCTTCTTGTTTGTATTGTCATCTCTGTTTGCATTGTCTTCTCTGTTTGTATTGTCTTCTCTGTTTGTATTGTCTTCTCCGTTTGTATTGTCTTCTCTGTATTGTCTTCTCTGTTTGTATTGTCTTCTCTGTTTGTATTGTCTCGTCGTTATCACTTCACTGGCGTCAAAGTCGCCCAACAGCCCTCGTTACGACTCCACTACTGAACTAGGACGAGGGCCTCCCCACGGCCGTGTGGGTCACGACGGGGTTCGTTGCTTGACCTTACTATACCGCGCTGGTCAACCGCGTGGGCTGGCGGAGGCCGGGAGCGTGGACGCGGCACAGCATAGATGTACAGTAAAACAATGAGCGTCTGCATTTTTTTTTACTCCGCTGCCCTTTGCCGACCGCAAGAGAGAAACGATGGGGAACATCGTAGCTGGCACCTTGGCGTGGCCACATGGCGACAATGATGACGATGGTGACGATGATGATGACTAATGATGACGATAACAATGACTGCCGACGATGATGATGACGAGGACGACAAAGATGACTGTGACAACGACGATGATGACGATGACGACGATGACGTCGATGATGACGTCGATGATGACGACGATGACTGATGACAATGATGACGACGATGCCACCCACGGAGGTGTAAATGCTAACGGCTCGCGGCGTTCTCGTTTGGCTTCGGCAGGAAAGAAAGATGATGACACGGAGGGCAATAAGCTGCTGACGCAGAGGAAGAAGGTCAAAGAGCTGAAGGTCCTGGACCCCAAGGCGGCGCAGAACCTGTGTAAGCCTCGCCGCGATTCCGGAACGTCCCGTGTAGCCAGCTACACGGCTAGGTTTGCAAGTGAAGAACCGGTGGTGCCGTCGGCGCGGAACGACGGCGGTGCGGATTCAAACTTGACGCGCAAAGAACAACAAAAAATGAGCGTCGTTCACAAAATGAACAAACGGGCACGCCGTGCGGGCAATGAGGACGAGGCGACGGGAAGGAGAGAAGCGAAGGCACGCCGGTTTGGGTGCGGGGTACAGCGGCCCAGCCGTGCACTCTGAGCTCGGAGAGATTCGAAGCCGTAGAGGGGAGGGAGGTGAGGGGAGGGGAGGAAGGGGGGGTAGCGGTGGGGAGGGGAGGGAGGGAGGGGAGCACAGGGGAGGGGAGGTCGCCGGGATTCCAACTCGTGACCTTGATGTCCACGAGTTGAGCGCTCTGACCTCCGCGCGACCTAACACACTCACATAACCTCTACTTGACCCAGAATAATCATGAAGCCCAATGGAGGATGTTAATAATAATAATAACAGAGTAAATAACGCCTTCCCATGTTTGTCTATGGACATAAAAAAATATGTAAAAGGGTTATTTACTATAAAGAATAATTTACTCGTGTTAATGTAAGTATCGTTTTTTGCAATCTGTCGGCCGCACGGCCTTTCGGGAGTTAATCTTATCGGCGTCCTTGGTTTCATTACAAACAAGCGTTTGTTTAAGCGAGTAGCCTGGCTCTGCTGATGAGACAGTGAATGTTGAATCCCGTCCAGAGTGTTGCTTGTCCGCAATCAATGCCGCTGATAAGACGTCGTCCCAGAAGGTCGTGCGGCCTGTGGGTTGTGTAAGAAACTAAAATAAGTTTTTTGTGGAGGAGTTATTTATTTAATTTCCTCAAGCAAAGCCTCACCGCTTCTCCAGACTCTGGAACAGTGCAAAACCATTCACCCTCAGTGCTGATAGCGTCTCTGCGTGTGTGTGTGTGCGTTTGTGGGGAGCGGTAGTGTCGTGGTTAGCGCTACGCTGCGCTACGAACCTGGCGACCCGGGTTTGATTCCCTCTCACGGCCAACACCGGTGACGATTATCTGAACCGGTCCTGGGCCTCCCCTAGGTCAACTCAACCTTAAATTAGTACCCGGTCCTGGGCCTCCCCTAGGTTAACTAAACCTTAAATTAGTACGCATCATTGTCGGGCAGGCACGGTGCTGACCACCCACCTCTCTCGTGCGCCGTCCGTCCCGTCCCGAACAACTTTCCCATTCCGATGACGTACGTGGGAGGGCGGGTACACACGTACGTCATCGGAACGGAATCGGCCACGCGGGGGAGGGCGTGCGGCACAGTTTGGCGCCAGCTGTTGTAGAGTCGTGTCGCTCCGGTTCCCTGAGTAACGACGTCTTTCAAAACAACGCCGCCGCTGACACGCCTCTCTAAATATAATTGACCGCCTAACCGCTCGGCGGTGAACGGGACGCCCGCCCGCCCGCCCCACCCTGCGACTTGGAGACGTCTCGGAACGGGAGGGGGGTTAACGGGCCGCTCGCTGACCGCTCAGCGGGGGGGAGGGGGGGGGGGATCTCCGCCGTGAGCGTGCGCGCGTTTGTCTCGGCAGCCATTTTCCTGGGCTCGTTCAAGATGTCCTACGTGGACATCAAGAACGCCGTTCTCTCCGTGGACGAGGAGAATCTCACCGAGTCCATGGTGCAGGTGAGACCTGCACACCCCCCCCCCACCAACCTCCCCCTACCGCCCCCACCCCCCACAGCCATCTGTCCCCGCCACTCCCTGCCCCAGGTCCAGGCAGGCTTCAAAGGCCTCTCTCACGAGCGGCTGTCGTCGGCACGGGGCAGAGGACACTTTCAGGTTATTTAGATTCGATCGTTGGGCTGCTATGGAATTCGAAAGTTTGGATCTCTCAGAAGACGACCGCCACGCTGAAATTTTACTCCAGCAGGACGCTTTGTAGGGCGTTCATTTCGATTATTTGGCTGCTGTAAATGTCCACGTGATGATAAGAGCGGTCATTTGTGGCCACGTCGCTTGTGAAAAAGAAGCGAATAGCTCGGTGGGCTTCACCTGGTCAAATAAAAATAGTTTAGTTTAATTTGTATATTCGTTTAGCGATTTGTTTACCTTTGCCGTACTTTGAACTCACATTGTGTTTTTTTGTATTGCCGCTTGTTGACTGGACGCCTGCGAAAAAGAGCTTCGCAGCTCATCGGATTCTTTCTGCAGTCTCAAGTCAACATTCTGATTGCGGTGTGCGTCGCGACGGGGACGGTGTTCCCGCACGGCCCAACGACGCGTCGATCGCTCTGGCGGGTGGCTGTGTCCGTGACTCAGTACTACCCCCCCCCCCCCCCCCCACGTGATCGCCGTGCCGCTCGCAGAATCTCATCAAGCAGCTGCCGGAACCGGACCACCTGGCGTCGCTCATGCAGATGCGCGATGACTTCGAGGAGATGTGCGAGCCGGAGCAGTTCGCCGTGGTGGTGGGTGCCTCTCGCCGGTGAACGCGCGCCGGGCCGGTGACCCGGGGTTCGAGCCCCGCTGTGATTAAGCCTCGGGAAACGATGGCAAAATCGGCCGTCGCGAAACGGGGAAAAGCGGCTCGGGGCCCCGGAAGCATCACGCCACCGCTGCCTTACCGGCTTAGCGGCGGGCAAAGATAAAGATCCCCCGCGTAGCCTTCACGGACCGTTGGGGCGAGTGCCGTTAGCGAGTAGCACCTGTGAAGGCCGGCACTGTGGCACACGAGGGGGTGGGTGGCCAGCACCTTTGTCTCCCCAGTGGCGATGTGTACACACCTCCACCGGGTATTTGTTTTAGTCGACCTGGATGAGGCCCAGGACCGGTTCAGATCATTGTCACCGGTGTCTGCCGCCAGCGGGAATCGGACTCGGGTCGCCGGGATCGTAGCGCAGCCACGCTAACCGCTACGCGCAGGCACGCAACGCACACGCAACGCACACGCAACGCACACGCAACGCACACGCAACGCACACGCACCGCACACGCAACGCACACGCAACGCACACGGACGCTGCTCGGTCCCTGAAGGAGCTTGCCAGCACGCCGGGGGTGGGGGGAGGGTGGCGAAGCGTCGGGACATGATGACCGCAGCCGTAACGTTCACGTCGTCGTCTCTGTCCGTACCCCACCCCCGCCCCCCCCGCCCGGCTCAGATCGGCTCGGTGCCGCGCCTGCGCCCGCGCCTCGCCGCCATCCTCCTGCGCCTGCAGCTGGCGGAGCAGGCCGGCGCGCTGAGCCCGGCCATGGTGGCGGTGAGCGCCGCGTGCGACGAGGTGCGGCGCAGCGCCGGGCTGGCGTGCCTCCTGGAGCTCGTGCTGCTCGTGGGGAACGTGATGAACGCCGGCTCGCGCAACGCCGGAGCCCACGGCTTCCAGTTCTCCTTCCTGAAGCGGGTGAGCGGGCGACGTCGCGGACGAGGGCGTGGACTCGACGGAGAGGCGACGGGGACATTGAGACATGGGATGCGACGAGCTTGGGGCGCGCCCGACGTGGGGGGGCCCACGTGCTACGTGATGCGGTGTAGACTACCGTGAGACACGGAGGGACGCGTGGGGTACGACGAGATTCCCGCTCACGGCCAACACCGGCGACGATTGTCTGAACCGGTCCTGGGCCTTTCCTAGGTCGATTCGGCCTCAAATGAGTACCTGGTGCGGTGTGTAGTAAACATCGCCACTGGGGAGACAAAGGCGGCCGGGCGCGGTGCTGGCCACACACCCACTCGTGTGCCGTGCCAGCCTTCATAAGTGCTCGCTAACAGCACTTGCCCCGACAGTCTGTTAAGGCTATACGGGGGATCTTTGTCTGTTGTCGTCGTCGTCGCTGTGCGTGCAGCTGAAGGACACGAAGTCACATGACCAGTCCCAGACGCTGCTGCACTTCCTGGCGCGGCTGTGCGAGGAGAAGCACCCGGACATCGCGAGGTTCACGAGCGAGATCGCCAGCGTCGAGATGGCGGCCAAAGGTGGGAACGTGCAGGAACTCCGCGGGAACGCACGGGAAGGCACGGGAACCTACAGGAACCTACAGGAACCAGCGGGAAGGCACGGGAACATGCGGAAATCTACGGGAAGCAGCGGGAACTCCGCGGGAACCTGCGTGGCGGCCGCACCGTCACCCGCGCGCGGCGGGCTCCTCTTAACTAAAAACTAAACTCGTTTTCACTTCGCCAGCGGGGCAATGCCCGCCGAGCTACGTCGCCGGTTGTTCAGACGAGCGCCCCCTCAGGCCACCACGGGTGACGGCTCGCGAGGAGCGTCGCCACCGCTGGAGGCGGCCGTCATTGTCGTTGGCCTCGCCTCTCCGCGGAAGGAGGGGCAGCAGCAGCAGCAGCAAAGCCGTCGTGGCGTTGGGAGGGCTTTCCCACCGTTCTCTAGGGAACCTCCACTTGCCGTGGGGGGGGGCGGGAAGGTGGGGGTTGGGGGGGATGTGGGGGAGGGGGTAGAGTAGTTGCCTCCTCCCCCCCCCCGTTTTGCCGAGTCGCCCGCGGGCCTGCCCGGGGCCTGTCCGGGGCCTACGGAAGAGCGAGCCTCGTCCGCGAGCCTTCCTGTTGATTGTTCTCGTCTCCCGCTGCGCGAGGAGGAGGAGGAAGAGGAGGAAGAAGAGGGGGTTATTTATTTCGGAGGAAGCAGCTGCGGTGGAAGAGCGCGAGGAGCAGGGGGACGGGGGGGGGAGGTGGAGGAGCGGTGGACGCGTGGACAGGGCAGCTGCGACATCCGATTCGTCGAAGCCATCGATTCTCTCCGCCCACCACGACCGTTGGGTTCGATTCGGCTCGACCAATCGGAGAAGACGCAAAAATACTCAACGGGTGATGGTGCAGCCCCCCCCCTCCAACCCCCCCCCCCCCTCCAACCCCCCCCCCCCCACCTTGCAATTTTATTGCGCAAATATTCCTTGAGAAATTCATCTTCCCCACCCCCCAGTACAATCCCATCATGGCCACGGCGCGGGGGAGGCCCTCATTCAGCAGTGGATTGAGCATCCGCAGGGGCTGCCGCCTGTACACAGTGGGCTGGGCAGGCCCCCCTGTTGTGGGTGGGTGGTGTCTAAAGGTGCAGACCCGCAACCGCTGGCCACGTCACCGCTGGAGGCAGGGCCGCCACTCTAGAGGGAGCCCTGGAAAAGGTTTTCTCTGAGCAGACCGTCAACTCGCTAGGCTTGAGAACCCGGTTCAATCGCAACCCCCCGTCTGTGTGTCTCTGCGAGTCTATGGGTCTCTGTGTGAGTCTATGGGTCGCTGTGTGAGTCTATGGCTCGCTGTGTGAGTCTACGGGTCTCTGTGCGAGTCTATGGGTTCGCTGTGTGAGTCTATGGGTCGCTCTGTGAGTCTACGGGTCGCTGTGTGAGTCTACGGGTCTCTGTGGTAGTCTATGGGTCACTGTGTGAGTCTATGGGTCGCTGTGTGAGTCTACGGGTCGCTGTGTGAGTCTATGGGTCGCTGTGTGAGTCTATGGGTCTCTGAGCCTATGGTTCTCTGTGTGAGTCTATGGGCTCTGTGTGAGTCTGCAGGTCTCTGTGTGAGTCTACGGGTCTATGTGTGAGTCTATTGCTCTCTGTGAGTCTACGGGTCGCTGTGTGAGTCTACGGGTCTGTGTGAGTCTATGGGTCTCTGAGCCTACGGTTCTCTGTGTGAGTCTATGGGCTCTGTGTGAGTCTGCAGGTCTCTGTGTGAGTCTACGGGTCTCTATGTGAGTCTATGGGCTCTGTGTGAGTCTACAGGTCTCTGTGTGAGTCTACGGGTCTCTGTGTGAGTCTACGGGTCTCTGTGTGAGTCTACGGCCGGCCCAGATTAGAACCCAGGATCCATGTCGAGTCGGCGTCTCTCACCCCAGAGCCACCCGGCCGTCTCAGGCAGGCGAGGGTTTAATTAAGCGCAGCAGTCTAGACTCAACATTAGGGCGTTTTATTACATTAAGGACACGTGCGTGACACTGTGCCTGTGTGTCTGGAACTGAGCATCGTAATTTTTCTAATGAACAAATAGAGCGTGGTAAGAAAGCCACGTGGACAAATGGCTTCGATTATTATTTCAATATTTTTTAATATTGTGATTTTTATTTTTTTGCTATTGTGAATTCTCCCGCGAAGATGCGGCCGTTCTGAACGCCGCCGGCGTAAGGCAGCGGTCACGTGGGCTGCAGGGCAGCTGTAGCGGCGCAGTGGGAACACTCGCATCTCACGGATGCGAGTGTGTGAGTGAGTGTGCGAGGTGAGTCGGTGAGTGTGGAACTGAGTGGACTTGCCGATGACCGGTACCAGCGGTGTCATGGTCAGCTTCTGTGGACACTGCTGGGAAGTTGGAGGCAGTCGTCCTCCAACAACAACGGAGGGCAGAGGAGCGACGCTCACAACAACGAGCGGAGCGCCAGGTGGATAAAACGCAGCAAGTTGGCACAGATGGTGCATCGGCTAGTCGTCTCAGTCAATCCATGGCAACTGGGTCTGTTCCGTGACCTCCTGCGTTTAATACTTCACGTGGCCTTAAAGTGCACATAGCCTGGCACAAGCGCCGTGGTGACGTCACCACCACTTAGTAGTGAATAGCGGTTGTTGTTGAGCGAGTCGGTGAGTGTGTGGAGTTTGTATTACCGGGCGAGATGTTAACTACCTCGCCTGCTATACCGGAGGTCTGTATATTTGGAGTTTGCGTGTGTCTCTCTGCCCGTGGTCGCGTGGATTTTCCGCAGGGTCCTCCGGTTTATTCCTTCCACATTTAAAATCAACGTCGCACGTTTTAGGGTATATTGCATCTATACATTTGCACACGATGATGAGGAGCCCCTTCGTTGAGCCGTCATTTGTCGTGGACAGGTCGCTTCTGATAACAAAAAAGAGCTGTATGTAGCTCAGTGGGGCCCTAACCGGGTAAAATAAAAAAAAATAGTTTTGGTTGCAATAGCGGCATTGCCGCGTTATCACCGGACAGCCGTCGTTTAAATCCGGCATTCACCCGCCCGCCATCGCTGTGTCCGCCCGCCCGCCAGTGTCGACGGAGAACGTGCAGAAGAGCGTCACCGCTATGGGCACGCAGCTCCAGCAGCTGGACAAGGAGCTGAAGACCTTCCCGGCGAGCGGCGACCCCAACGATCAGTTCGTGGCCAAGATGACGATATCCTCTCGGGCGCACGGGCGCGCGTGACGTCCGGAGGTGCCGTGTGAGGTCACGGTGAGGGGCGGGGGTGGGGGGGAGATCGTTACCCCCCGCGGGGAGGTTTGTCTCCGGGTACTCCGGTTCCCTCTCACGTGTAAACACTCGCGGTTTGGTGTTGGTCAAGCATAACAAGATAGGAACGCAGAGCTTGGATAATTGTTGGAGTGTTAACGTGTGTTAGCACTTTTTACTGGTGCCGGTCAGACATAGGACCCCCACAGACCTTAACAATAATACTTTCATTTTGTATGGCGTCATTCGTGCGAGCAGCATTCCATGACGCTGTGCATTGATTATATACAGGGTGCTTAAAAGAAAAAAGTTTAAACTTCTGAGAATTTGCAACAACCCCACGAGAAATGTGCCGCCTCCTCCAGGCTTTGGAGACCACCTGGAGAAGGTCCCAGGCCACGTTGACAACGATGGCGGACACGTGGGGGAGACTCTTTGACTTTTAAAAGCTAGTAACATGTGTGTGTACGCGTGCGTGTGTACGTACGCGTGCGTGTGTACGTGTGTGTGTACACGTGTGTGTGTACACGTGTATGTGTGTACGCGTGCGTGTGTACGTGTGTGTGTGCACGTGTGTGTGTGCACGTGTGTGTGTACACGTGCGTGTGTGTGTGTATGCGTGCGTGTGTGTGTGTACACGTGCACGTGTGTGTGTACACGTGCGTGTGTGTGTGTGTACGCGTACGTGTGTATGTGTGTGTGTACATGTGTGTGTGTACACGTGCGTGTTTGTGTACGCGTGCGTGTGTGCCAGTAAGCTGCACCCTTTATTGACCCAAGCAGAAAGCTCTCCGTTTGCCGGGATGTCGTCAGATACCAGAATAGTTCCATTTGGACGCGAGGCTTAATGGAAGGCAGAGGAAATGGGTGTGTGTGTCCGCCCCTTTATGTGTGTGCCATTGTGCGCGTTTGTGCGTGCGTGTCCTCCTGCCGGGCCGCTAAAACGCAGCGAGTTGGCACAGCAGGGGGCACGGCTGGTGGTGCATCTGCCAGTCATCTCAAGTGGGTCATCCCATGGAACCTGCTGGGTCCGTCCCGTGACCTCCTGCCAGCGAGGCTTCCACACTTTCACTTGGCCTCAAAGCGCACCTGGCCTGGCACGGGCACCGTGGTGACGTCACCGCCACTTGATTGCAAATGGCGGTGGTTGTTGTTTCTGTTGTCACCAATCAACATTGAGAAGGCGGTCGGACGTGGTGCTGGCCACATCGTTGCACCGTGTCGGCCTTCAGAGGTGCCGCTCCCTCGCAGCACTTGCCCCAACAGTCTCTTAAGGCTATACGGGAGGTCTTTGTGTGTGTGGTTGCGTGAGTGCGAATGTTTCTGATTCTCAAGTCCCTCTTATGTTAGTTTTTACATCTGTAGCTGTTTATTCTCCCGCACTATCATGGGGTGACGTGGGCACAATTCTATCTCGCAGCCTGCGCTTGTCCACGTGCGCGTGTGTGTGTGTGTGTGCGTGTGTTTGTCTGTGTGTGTGTCTGTGTATGTGTGTGTGTTTGTCTGTGTGTGTGTCTGTGTGTGTGTCTGTGTGTGTGTGTGTGTGTTTGTCTGTGTGTGTGTCTGTGCCGGTTAGAAACATTTAGGCTGGCTTGCCTACGATCCATCCTGGGTTTAACCAGGCTGGATTGTGTGAGGAGATCACAAATCCTTGAAAGATCTGGGCAAAGTCCCATCGGTGAGCTCCTCCGGCAGGCAAGGCTGCGTTGGCTGGGTCATGTAACCCGCATGCCAGGCCACCGCATGCCGAAACAGCTTTTGTTCGGCCGGATCGAGGGGGCTAAACGGGCGCGGCACGGGCTAGAGAAGAGTTGGAGTGATGTGGTACAGGAGGACGTGGAGCTGAGTGAACTTGCCGATGACTGGTACCAGCGGTGTCAAGATCGGCCTCTGTGGAGGAGGCTCGTGAAGGACGCTACTGGGCAGTTGGAGGCAGTCGCCCTCCAACAACAACGGAGGGCGGAGGAGCGACGCTCACAACAACGAGCGGACCGCCGCGTGGCTAAAGCACAGCAGGTTGGCACAGTAGGGGGCACAGGTGGTGCATCAGCCAGTCATCTCAGTCAGTCGACCCGTGGTACCTGGGTCTGCCCCGTGACCTCCTGCCAGTGGGCGTTCGACACTTCACGTGGCCTCAAGGTGCACATGGCCTGGCACAAGCGTCGTGGTGATGTCACCGCCACTTAGTGGCGAATGGCGGTTGTTGTTGTGTATGTTTGTGTGTGTGTATGTTTGTGTGTGTGTGTATGTTTGTGTGTGTGTGTGTATGGCACAAGCATCGTGGTGATGTCACCGCCACTTAGTGGCGAATGGCGGTTGTTGTGTGTGTATGTGGGGAGCGGTGGTGCATCGGTTAGCGAGCTGCGCTATGAACCCGGCGACCTGCATTCGGTTCCCGCTCACGGCCAACACCGGTGACGATTATCCGAACTGGTCCTAGGCCTCCCCTAGGTCGACTCAGCCTCAAACTTGTACCTGGTGTGGTGTGTAAACATCGCCACTGGGGAGACAAGCCTTCAAAGGTGCTACTCCGCTAACAACACTTGACCCCACAGCCTGTTTAGGGCTACACCGGGGGAGGGAGAGGGGGTGGGAAATCTTTATTTATATTTACTTACGACGGAAATCGGCGGTATGTGGAACACATTAACGGCCGAGTGGAATATAATGCAACCACGGTGTCTTCTCATTCGTTCCACTATGTTACATTTTCAAAATCTAGTTCCCTTCCGCCGCCCCCTGTCCCCCCAACGTCCCCGCGATTGCGCTGCTGTCTCCGTCGTGACGTCACGTGCCGGGACGATCGACTCGGAACTCTCAACGGCACCGCGCCACCCAACGAGACCGTTACCCCCCCACCCCTCGCCCGGTACGCAGGAGGCCGCGGGTTCGATCCCCGGACCCTGCGACTGCGTTGGTGTAATTTTTAATTGTCCACGAGCTTTGGAAGAGAATTCCAGGGTGGAAGCAGAGCGCGGGGGAAGAATCTGGAAGGTGTGAACCCAGTGTGTGGGCGAGTGGGCGAGTGTGTTGAGAGTGGGTGGGCGAGTGTGTGGGCGAATGGGCGAGTGTGTGGGGAGTGGGCGAGTGAGTGGGTGGGCGAGTGCGCGAGTGAGTGGGTGGGCGAGTGTGTGGGCGAGTGGGCGAGTGTGTTGAGAGTGGGTGGGCGAGTGTGTTGAGAGTGGGTGGGCAAGTGAAGGGGAGTGGGCGAGTGAGTGGGTGGGCGAGTGGGCGAGTGTGTGGGGAGTGGGCGAGTGTGTTGAGAGTGGGTGGGCGAGTGTGTGGGCGAGTGAGCGAGTGTGTGGGCGAGTGGGCGAGTGTGTTGAGAGTGGGTGGGCGAGTGTGTTGAGAGTGGGTGGGCGAGTGTAAGGGGAGTGGGCGAGTGAGTGGGTGGGCGAGTGCGCGAGTGAGTGGGTGGGCGAGTGCGCGAGTGAGTGGGTGGGCGAGTGTGTGGGGAGTGGACGAGTGAGGAGTGGGTAAGTGACTTTTTGTGACCTGCAGTGTGGCGGTGGTTGAACGCAGCGCGGATGATGGGACGGCACGGTGAGCGTCTGGTACAGACCAAGTCCTCAACATGGCTGTCGGACTCAACGAGTGGAGCTCACGGGAACAGGAACCCGTGATAGTAGCGATAGAAGAGCGATAAGGAGGTGGCTGATCACCGTTGAGTGAGATTAATTGGCGAGCGCCGGTTCGTCAATCCACCCTGGTTGCTCCAAGCAGGTGCTGTGGCGAGGTAGGTTGGGACCTGGGCCCAGCTGTGACCGCAAGAACTTGTCCAGCTTTGGTCTAATCCGTGCTCTGGTATGGATCGTTCGATTGAGAGCGAGCGAGAGCGACGCACCCAGCCCCAGAGTTTGAACCCAGCAACCTCTGCCTTGGCAGCTTGGTGTGTCCCTGTACTACCCACCCACCCACCTTCATTATTGTTCGTTCATAATGATGGGGGGGGGTAACTGCCTGCAGTAAACAGTGGTAACAAAGTCATCCAATTCAAACAAAGAACACGTTTAACTTTTCCCAAACAACAGATTATTAAAATATTGAGATGCAATCTGCCGAGGAACAACGGAAAGGCAATTATTGTTATTTTTTTATACCGATTATTAATATGCAGCTGTGCGTGCGCATTCGTTTGTGTGTGTGTGTGGGGGGGGGAGCGGTAGTGTAGCGGTCAGCGTGCTCTGCTACGAACCCGGCGACCCGAGTTGGTTCTCGCTCGCGGCCATCACCAGTGACGATTATCTGAACCGGGCCTGGGCCTCCCCTAGGTCGACTCGGCCTCAAATGAGTACCCGGTGTAAAACAGCGCTGCTTAGGCGTGATGCCTCCCCCTCTCCCCCCCCCCCGTGCGCCGTGCCGGCCTTCATAGGTGCAGCTACTCACCAACAGCACTTGCCCCAACAAGTCTGTTAAGGCTATACGGGGGATCTTTGTCTTTGCTGCTGATTTTATCTTGGGAGGAGGAGGGGGGGGGGACGCCTTCATCCAGCAGTGGATAGAACTGGGCCGGATGTTGTTGATGATAAGCGCCGTCAAACGCGAGAGGAAATCTGCACAAAGCCTGACGTAGGCCGCCGCCTGTTTTGCAGATGTCCGCCCCCCTCCCCTCGTGTCGCCACCTGTCCAGGTCCTACCAGGACACGTCCGTTCGTCGGGGGGAGCTGACTTCAATGCGCGAGTCTCCCTCCCAAGCCGCGCAAAGAGTTCCCCCGGCTTTTGTGAGTTTGCGTGCGGCCGTGCGCCCACGCAAGACGTCGTTTGCACGGAGCTGTCCCGCTCCCTCCCTGTGTGGCGCGGCTCGCTCCCTCCCCCGGTTTGTTGCGTCGCCCGCGGGGGTGGCAACCAGGAGCCTCCTTCCCCCAGCCGCTTGCCCGGCGACGCAACGCAGATGTCCCCCGCTCGGACCTCGGGGTGGGGGGGGGAGTAACTAATGTTTCTCTCGA